GTGGTGTGTTGTGGTGTGTTGTGGTGTGTTGTGGTGTGTTGTTGTGTGTTGTTGTGTGTTGTTGTGTGTTGTTGTGTGCGTGTTGCGTGTTGCGTGTTGCATGTTGCGTGTTGCGTGTTGCGTGTTGCGTGTTGCGTGTTGCGTGTTGCGTGTTGCGTGTTGCGTGTTGCGTGTTGTTGTTGTTGTTGGTGGTGGTGGTGGTGGTGGTGTTGGTGTTTGTGTTGGTGTTACCCCTGCAGCGTTTTTTCTCGGTTCCGTAGTGGCCGAGAATCGTCAAATATGTGGTGTTTTCGCGTGTTTTTGCAACTCGCTGGTTGTTGTGTGTTGTTGTGTGTTGATGTGTGTTGTTGTGTGTTGTTGTGTGTTGTTGTGTGTTGTTGTGTGTTGTTGTGTGTTGTTGTGTGTTGTTGTGTGTTGTTGTGCGTTGTTGTGAGTTGTTGCGTGTTGTTGTTTGTTGTTGGTTGTGGTTGTGGTTGTTGTTGTTGTTGATGATGATGATGGAATGAATGAGGTAATTGTTGTTGGTTGTTATGTTTTTTTTGGTGAACATTTTTTGAGTTGTTATACTGCTATAATTTGATTTTAGAAAACTTCATTAAATCAACTTTTTGAACATTTTTTGGGGGGTGGGGGGGGGGCGGGTACTAAATTGACTAGCAATCTCCTGAATAATCAGGTAACGGGGCTGGCCGCCCTCCCCTTTACTTCGTAAAGTAAAACTCAAGGTAGCCCCTCTGGCCCTCTGGAGCTACCTTTCGTGATATGGGCGACAAGCACGCGCAAGAAGAGTTTCTGGGTGAAGAGTCTCTGGGTGAAAAGTATATAGGTGAAAAGTACGTGCAAGAAGAGTTTCTGGGTGAAGAGTCTCTGGGTGAAAAGTATATGGTTGAAAAGTTTGTGCAAGAAGAGTTTCTGGGTGAAAAGTCTGTGCCATAATTAAGAGTTTCTGGGTGAAGAGTCTCTGGGTGAAAAGTATATGGGTGAAAAGTATGTGCAAGAAGAGTTTCTGGGTGAAGAGTCTATGGGTGAAAAGTATATTGGTGAAAAGTATGTGCAAGAAGAGTTTCTGGGTGAAGAGTCTCTGGGTTAAAAGTATATGGGTGAAAAGTATGTGCAAGAAGAGTTTCTGGGTGAAGAGTCTCTGGGTGAAAAGTATATGGGTGAAAAGTATGTGCAAGAAGAGTTTCTGGGTGAAGAGTCTCTGGGTGAAAAGTATATGGGCGAAAAGTATTTGCAAGAAGAGTTTCTGGGTGAAGAGTCTCTGGGTGAAAAGTATGTGGGTGAAAAGTATGTGCAAGAAGAGTTTCTGGGTGAAGAGTCTCTGGGTGAAAAGTATGTGGGTGAAAAGTATGTGCGCGAAGAGTTTCTGGGTGAAGAGTCACTGGGTGAAAAGTGTATTGGTGAAAAGTATGTGCGAGAAGAGTTTCTGGGTGAAGAGTCTCTGGGTGAAAAGTATATGGGTGAAAAATATGTGCAAGAAGAGTTTCTGAGTGAAATTATATGGGTGAAAAGTATGTCCAAGAAGAGTTTCTTTGTGAAGAGTCTATGGGTGAAAAGTATATGGGTGAAAAGTATGTGCAAGAAGAGTTTCTGGGTAAAGAGTCTCTGTGTGAAGAGTCTGTGCAAGAAGAGTTTCTGGGTGAAGAGTCTCTGGGTGAAAAGTATATTGGTGAAAAGTATGTGCAAGAAGGGTTTCTGGGTGAAGAGTCTCTGGGTGAAAAGTATATGGTTGAAAAGTATATGCAAGAAGAGTCCCTGGGTGAAAAGTATATGGGTGAAATGTCTGTGCAAGAAGAGTTTTTGGGTGAAGAGTCTCTGGGTGAAAAGTATATGAGTGAAAAGTATGTGCAAGAAGAGTTTCTGGGTGAAGAGTCTCTGGGTGAAAAGTATTTATAAGAAGAGTTTCTGGGTGAAGAGTCCCTGGGTGAAGAGTATATGGGTGAAATGTCTGTGCAAGAAGAGTTTCTGGGCGAAGAGCCTCTGGGTGAAAAGTATATGGGTGAAAAGTATGTGCAAGAAGAGTTTCTGGGTGAAGAGTCTCTGGGTGAAAAGTATATGAGTGAAAAGTATGTGCAAGAAGAGTTTCTGGGTGAAGAGTCTCTGGGTGAAAAGTATTTATAAGAAGAGTTTCTGGGTGAAGAGTCCCTGGGTGAAAAGTATATTGGTGAAAAGTATGTGCAAGAAGAGTTTCTGGGTGAAAAGTCTGTGCCATAATTAAGAGTTTCTGGGTGAAGAGTCTCTGGGTTACAGTCGTCGACAGAATTTTGGAAATGAAAAAAGGTTCGCGCGCGGCAGTTAGCGGAAAAGGTTGGGGACCGAAACCAAGACAAACGATTAGCGACATTACGGACTTTCAAAAGAAAAAATTGAAAATAGCAATTTTCAGATCCTGATTCTCTAAAAAAGAAAAACAAGTGAGACAAATGTCTACAAAAGCCTTTAATCCACGATGCAAAATTAATTTTGGAAATCTTACTTATCGGATCCTGATCCTCCAAACATCTCTAAACCAACTTGTTTACAGTTTATTTGCATGATCTGGGGACTAAATCTAGATTCAGCTTTCGGACCCTGATCCTCCAAACCACCTGGTTTACAGCAAATTTGCATGATTTTGGGACTAAATCCAGATTCAGTTTTGGGATCCTGATCCTCCAAACATCTCTAAACCACCTTGTTTACAGTTTATTTGCATGATCTGGGGACTAAATCTAGATTCAGCTTTCGGACCCTGATCCTCCAAACCAGTTGCTTTACAGCGTATTTGCATGATCTTGGGACTAAATCTAGATTCAGTTTTCGGATCTTGATCCTTCAAAAAAAAGGATGAAACAAATGTATACAAATGTCTGCAAAAGCCTCTAATCCACGATGCAGAATTAATTTTGGAAATCTTACTTTTCGGATCCTGATCCTTCAAACTACCTAGTTTTGAATGCTATTATTCCTCCACATGTCTATTTTGATCTCCCACTGATGCTACTATAGCCATAATCATGCACTGTAGCCATGGCCAAAAGAATTATGGAAACATGCCAATAGAAAAGTTGTCACCCCTTTCAGGAAACAAATAATTATCGAAATGGTCATTTGCCAAGAAGCACCCTCACATGGAAAACATATATATGGAAATTTAACTGCAGCACGTCACGCCCCTTCCAAAAAGGTTCGGTATACAAGGTATTACCGATTTTTGAGGTGTGCATTTTTATCAGTAAAACAGAATTATGGAAAGATACGGCCCCGGCGCGCCGCAGTTGCTTACCTGCCCATGTCGAACCTTTTTTCCATTTCCAAAATTCTGTCGACGACCAAAAAAGTATATGGGTGAAAAGTGTGTGAAAAGTCTGTGCAAGAAGAGTTTCTGGGTGAAGAGTCTCTGGGTGAAAAGTATATGGGTGAAAAGTATGTGCAAGAAGAGTTTCTGGGTGAAGATTCTATGGGTGAAAAGTATATGGGTGAAAAGTATGTGCAAGAAGAGTTTCTTTGTGAAGAGTCTATGAAAAGTAAATGGGTGAAAAGTATGTGCAAGAAGAGTTTCTGGGTAAAGTGTCTCTGGGTGAAGAGTCTGTGCAAGAAGAGTTTCTGGGTGAAGAGTCTCTGGGTGAAAAGTAAATGGGTGAAAAGTCTATGGGTGAAAAGTATGTGCAAGAAGAGTTTCTGGGTGAAGAGTCTCTGGGTTAAAAGTACATGGGTGAAAAATATGTGCAAGAAGAGTTTCTGGGTGAAGAGTCCATGGGTGAAAAGTATATGGGTGAAAAGTATGTGCAAGAAGAGTTTCTGGGTGAAGAGTCTCTGGGTGAAAAGTATGTGGGTGAAAAGTATGTGCGCGAAGAGTTTCTGGGTGAAGAGTCACTGGGTGAAAAGTGTATTGGTGAAAAGTATGTGCGAGAAGAGTTTCTGGGTGAAGAGTCTCTGGGTGAAAAGTATATGGGTGAAAAATATGTGCAAGAAGAGTTTCTGGGTGAAGAGTCTATGGGTGAAAAGTATATGGGTGAAAAGTATGTGCAAGAAGAGTTTCTGGGTGAAGAGTCTCTGGTTTAAAAGTACATGGGTGAAAAGTATGTGCAAGAAGAGTTTCTGGGTGAAGAGTCTCTGGATGAAAAGTATATGGGTGAAAAGTATGTGCAAGAAGAGTTTCTGGGTGAAGAGCCTCTGGGTGAAAAGTATATGGGTGAAAAGTATGTGCAAGAAGAGTTTCTGGGTGAAGAGTCTGTGGGTGAAAAGTTTATGGGGGAAAAGTATGTGCAAGAAGAGTTTCTTCTGGGTGAGAGTTCTCCTGGGTGCAAAGTATTTATTATAATTGCGGTTAGAGAAAGAGCGCCTCCTCGCAACTGGAGGTGATGAGGTGGGGTGATCAGGACGAGGCGTGCCCTGCTGGATATGGGTGAAAAGTATGTGCAAGAAGAGTTTCTGGGTGAAGAGTCTCTGGGTGAAAAGTATATGGGTGAAAAGTATGTGCAAGAAGAGTTTCTGGGTGAAGAGTCTCTGGTTTAAAAGTACATGGGTGAAAAGTATGTGCAAGAAGAGTTTCTGGGTGAAGAGTCTCTGGGTGAAAAGTATATGGGTGAAAAGTATGTGCAAGAAGAGTTTCTGGGTGAAGAGCCTCTGGGTGAAAAGTCTATGGGTGAAAAGCGGGTGCAAGAAGAGTCTCTGGGTGAAAAGTATGTGCAAGAAGAGTTTCTGGGTGAAGTGTCTCTGGGTGAAAAGTATATGGGTGAAAAGTATGTGCCAGAAGAGGGTGAAGAGTCTCTGGATGAAAAGTGTATGGGTGAAAAGTATGTGCAAGAAGAGTTTCTGGGTGAAAAGTGTATTGGTGAAAAGTATGTGCAAGAAGAGTTTCTGGGTGAAGAACCTCTGGGTGAAAAGTATATGGGTGAAAAGTATGTGCAAGAAGAGTTTCTGGGTGAAGAGTCTCTGGGTGAAAAGTATATGGGTGAAAAGTATGTGCAAGAAGAGTTTCTGGGTGAAGAGTATCTGGGTGAAAAGTATATGGGTGAAAAGTATGTGCAAGAAGAGTTTCTGGGTGAAAAGTATGTGTAATAAGAATTTTTGGGTGAAGAGTCTCTGGGTGAAAAGTATATGGGTGAAAAGTATGTGTAATAAGAGTTTTTGGGTGAAGAGTCTCTGGGTGAAAAGTATATGGGTGAAAAGTATGTGCAAGAAGAGTTTCTGGGTGAAGAGTCTCTGGGTAAAAAGTATATGGGTGAAAAGTATGTGCAAGAAGAGTCTCTGGATGAAAAGTATATGGGTGAAAAGTATGTGCAAGAAGGGTTTCTGGGTGAAGAGTCTCCGGGTGAAAAGTATATGGGTGAAAAGCATGTGCAAGAAGAGTTTCTGGGTGAAGAGTCTCTGGGTGAGAAGTCTGTGCAAGAAGAGTTTCTGGGTGAAGAGTGTCCGGGTGAAAAGTATATGGGTGAAAAGTATGTGCAAGAAGGGTTTCTGGGTGAAGAGTCTCCGGGTGAAAAATATTGGGGAACATAGGGATAGATGGGATGCTGGCTTTCGTTCCTCCCTTCTCAGGTCCTGTATCATTAATGCATCATCCCTTTTTGAAATGTCAATGTGGGTCAGTAAAAGTAGAAGGATTTCACCCGCATCTTGGAGGGTCAGTCACGGTCTAAAAGTCCAAAAGAGAAATGGACATTTGCAGAGATTCTGATGCTCATTGGGCCAAACTTGCATGAACATGAAGTCTCATGACGTCTGAGGACTGCCTGAAGAAAATTCTCAAGTCATGTGATGTGTGAGGCAGTGGCCTTGGTCGATGAAACTTTAGGCCTGAAAAAGGCCTGCAGGGGTTTGGGACTCTGAGCACCACGATGTGCCAACCGGAGTGCCAACTGGAGCCGGTCCCAGGCAGCAAAGAAACGAACAGGCTTCAATAGCAATAACGCCTCGTGATTGGGGGAAGTGGATGGAAGTGAAGCAAAAACCATTTTCATATCATACTGCTAGGTCCCAGTGTCATTATAGTGGCAATCCAGCTCCAGATCAAGCAGTCATTCTTAACTGAGCTTATTGCAGACGCCTCAGTGTTTCAGCTTCTTGATCACTAAACTAAACGAAACCAAAATGTCAGGGAGGAGCTGACCGGCTCTCACCGGCTCACCGTGCAAATGTGCAGGACATATCTCCTCATTGTATATTCATCGGCTCCCAAGTGGTTGAGGAGATTGATTGTTCCCCAACAGCGCAAGCTAAGGGGGTCTTCAGCCAAAAATAGCTCCGGTCTGCCCTGGTGCAGGCGCCGGGTCAGGTTCAACGAGGTTCTGGAGAAGGTTCCGGAGAAGGTCTGGGAAACAGGGTTCCGGAGAAGGTTCTGGAGAAGGTTCCAGAGAAGGTCTGGGAGGCTTTGGTGCAGAGCCAAGTCAGGTTCAACAGGGTTCCGGAGAAGCAAGTCAGGTTCAACAGCGTTCCGGAAAAGGTTCCGGAGAAGGTCGGGGAGGCTTTGGTGCAGAGCCAGGGCAAGTTTAACAGGGTTTGGAGAAGGTTCCGGAGAAGGTTCCGGAGGAGGCTCCGGGAGGTGTTCAACAGGGTTCCGGAGAAGGTTCCGCAGAAGGTTCCGGAGAAGGTCTGGGAAGCTTTCGTGCAGAGCCAGGTCATGTTCAACAGGGTTCCGGAGAGGTTCCGGAGAAGGTCTGCAATGGGAGGCTTTGGTGCAGAACTTCAACAGGGTTCCGAAGAAGGTTCCGGAAGGCTTTGGTGCAGAGCCAGGTCAGGTTCCGAAGAAGGCTTTGGTGCAGAGCCAGGTCAGGTTCAACAGGGTTCCGGAGAAGGTTCCGGAGAAGGTGGGGGGTTTTGGTGCAGAGCCAGGTCTGGTTCAGGTCAACAAGGTTCCGGAGAAGGTTCCGGAGAAGGTTCCAGAGTGGGTGCAGAGCCAGGTCGAGTTCAACAGGGTTCCAGGAAGACTTGGTGCAAAGCCAAGTCAGGTTCAACGGGTTCGGGATAAGGTTCCGAAGGCCTGGGAGGCTTTGGTGCAGAGCCAGGTCAAATTCAATAAGGTTTCGGAGAAGGTTCCGGAGAAGGTCTGGGAGGCTTTGGTGCAGAGCCAGGTCCGGTTCAACAGGGTTCCGGAGAAGGTTCCGGAGAAGGTTCCGGAGAAGGTTCCGGAGAAGGTTCCAGAGAAGGTTCCGGAGAAGGTTCCAGAGCCAGGTCAGGTTCAACGAGGTTCTGGAGAAGGTTCCGGAGAAGGTTCCGGAGAAGGCTCCGGGAGGCTTTGGTGCAGAGCCAGGCCAGATTCAACATGTTCCGGAGAAGGTTCCGGAGAAGGTTCCGGAGAAGGTTGCAGAAGCCAAGCGAGGTCAGGTTCATTTAACTCACGGAAAATCAGCTGAGGTGTTTCCAGCGCTTGGCTTCCCAGCACGCTTCAGAAAGATTTGTAAAAATAAAACGTTGCGGCTGTTGGGGATACCGTCAAAGCTTATTCCCGAGAGCGCCTGCGAAGGGTTCTTCGTAAAAAAGCAGCCGTTATACTACATCTTCACACCTTCACATCTGCTGATCTACATCTTCAGACCTTCACACCTGCAGATATAGATCTTCACACCTTCACACCTGCAGATCTAGATCTTCACACCTTCACACCTGCAGATCTAGATCTTCACACCCTCACATCTGCAGATCTAGATCTTCACACCCTCACATCTGCAGATCTACATCTTCACACCTCACACCTGCAGATCTACATCTTCACACCCTCACATCTGCTGATCTACATCTTCACCCCTCACATCTGCAGATCTACATCTTCACACCCTCACATCTGCAGATCTACATCATCACACCCTCACACCTGCAGATCTAGATCTTCACACCCGCACACCTGCAGATCTAGATCATCACACCCGCACACCTGCAGATCTAGATCTTCACACCCTCACACCTGCAGATCTCAAGTCGTCACACGGCCGCGACCTGATTTTGGTACTTCCCCGAACCCCCTCCCACCTGCGCTATCTAGATCTTCACACCCTCACATCTGCAGATCTAGATCTTCACACCCTCACACCTGCAGATCTAGATCTTCACATCCTCACACCTGCAGATCTAGATCTTCACATCCTCACACCTGCAGATCTAGATCTTCACACCTTCACACCTGCAGATCTAGATCTTCACACCTTCACACCTGCAGATCTAGATCTTCACACCCTCACATCTGCAGATCTTAGATCTTCTACATACCTTCATTCGAGTCTGCGTGGTGATTCACATAGAAATCGTCTTCACCACTCATCTCACATAACCTGCAGATCAGATCTTCACACCCTCCACCCTGCAGTCTTTAGATCTTCACACCCTCGCAACAATCTGCAGTATCCCCTACAATTCATCACATTCCTCCGCACATCTGCGATCTACACTGGGTCACACCCTCTAATTTGCAGATCTACATCATCACACCTCCTGCACGACCTGCAGACTCAGATCTGCACACCCTACACCTGTCGATCTAGATCTTCACAGCTTCAACATTCTTCAGATCCTGCTTCCTCGCTCTTCTTGTATTCTCTCTTTCTTTAAGGCTGGGGTGCGTGCCGCCGGAGCGGCCACGGAAAACGCAACCCTTTCGCACGAAATGGACGTTGGACGTCAAAAACTGAGGAAAAATTGCGATTTTACTTTGTCCATCGCGACCCTTTCGCACGAAATGGACGTTGGACGTCAAAAACTGAGGAAAAATTGCGACTTTGAGGTGTCCCGCGCAACCCTTACGCACGAAATGGACGTTGGACGTCAAAAACTGAGGAAAAATTGCGACTTTGAGTTGTCAATCGCAACCCTTACGCACGAAATGGACGTTGGACGTCAAAAACTGAGGAAAAATTGCGACTTTGAGTTGTCAATCGCAACCCTTACGCACGAAATGGACGTTGGACGTCAAAACCTGAGGAAAAATTGCGACTTTGAGTTGTCAATCGCAACCCTTACGCACGAAATGGACGTTGGACGTCAAAAACTGAGGAAAAATTGCGACTTTACTTTGTTATTCGCAGCCCTTATGCACGAAATGGACGTTGGACGTTAAAAACTGAGGTAAAATTGCCATGGACGCTTTCGTTTGTGTAAAAGTGCCTGTGTGTAAAAGCGTCTGTGTGTAAAAGCGTCTGTGTGTAAAAGCGTCTGTGTGTAAAAGCTTCTGTGTGTAAAAGCCTCTGTGTGTAAACGGGTCTGTGTGTAAAAGCGTCTGTGTGTAAAAGCGTCTGTGTGTAAAAGCGTCCGTGTGTAAAAGCGCTTGTGTGTAAAAGCGTCTGTGTGTAAAAGTCTCTGTGTGTAAAAGCGTCTGTGTGTAAAAGAGCCTGTGTGTAAAAAGCGTCTGTGTGTAAAAGCGTCTGTGTGTAAAAGCGTCTGTGTGTAAAAGCGTCTGTGTGTAAAAGCTTCTGTGTGTAAAAGCCTCTGTGTGTAAAGGAGTCTGTGTGTAAAAGCGTCTGTGTGTAAAAGCGTCTGTGTGTAAAAGTGTCTGTGTGTAAAAGTGCCGTGTGTAAAAGCGGTTGTGTGTAAAAGCGTCTGTGTGTAAAAGGGTCTGTGTGTAAAAGCGTCTGTGTGTAAAAGCGTCTGTGTGTAAAAGCGTCTGTGTGTAAAAGCGCCTGTGTAAAAGCTTCCGTGTGTAAAAGCCTCTGTGTGTAAAAGCTTCTGTGTGTAAAAGCCTCTGTGTGTGAAAGTGTTGTGTGTAAAAGCGTCTGTGTGTAAAAGCGTCTGTGTGTAAAAGCGTCTGTGTGTAAAAGCGTCTGTGTGTAAAAGCGTCTGTGTGTAAAAGCGTCTGTGTGTAAAAGCGCCTGTGTGTAAAAGCTCTGTGTGTAAAAGCGTCTGTGTGTAAAAGCTTCTGTGTGTAAAAGCCTCTGTGTGTGAAAGTGTTTGTGTGTAAAAGCGTCTGTGTGTAAAAGCGTCTGTGTGTAAAAGCGTCTGTGTGTAAAAGCGTCTGTGTGTAAAAGTCTCTGCGGGTAAAAGCCTCTTTGTGTAAAAGTCTCTGTGTGTGAAAGAGCCTGTGTGTAAAAAGCGTCTGTGTGTAAAAGCGTCTGTGTGTAAAAGCGTCTGTGTGTAAAAGCTTCTGTGTGTAAAAGCGTCTGTGTTTAAAGGAGTCTGTGTGTAAAAGCTTCTGTGTGTAAAAGCGTCTGTGTGTAAAAGCGTCTGTGTGTAAAGGAGTCTGTGTGTAAAAGCTTCTGTGTGTAAAAGCGTCTGTGTGTAAAAGCTTCTGTGTATAAAAGCCTCTGTGTGTAAAAGCTTCTGTGTGTAAAAGCCTCTGTGTGCGAAAGTGTTGTGTGTAAAAGCGTCTGTGTGTAAAAGGGTCTGTGTGTAAAAGGGGCTGTATGTAAAAGCGTTTGTGTGTAAAAGTGTCTGTGTGTAAAAGCTTCTGTGTGTAAAAGCACCTGCGTGTAAAAGCGCCTGTGTGTAAAAGCGTCTGGGTGTAAAAGTGTCTGTGTGTAAAAGCGTCTGTGTGTAAAAGTCTCTGTGTGTAAACGCGTCTGTGAAAGTGTTTGTGTGTAAAAGCATCTGCCTGTAAAAGCGCCTGTGTATAAAAGCGTCTGCGTGTAAAAGTGTCTGTGTGTAAAAGTGTCTGTGTGTAAAAGCCTCTGTGTGTAAACGCGTCTGTGAAAGTGTTTGTGTGTAAAAGCGTCTGTGTGTAAAGGAGTCTGTGTGTAAAAGCTTCTGTGTGTAAAAGCGTCTGTGTGTAAAAGCCTCTGTGTAAAGGCCTCTGTGTGTGAAAGTGTTTGTGTGTAAAAGCTTCTGTGTGTAACAGCTTCTGTGTGTGAAAGTGTGTGTCTAAAAACATCTGCGTGTAAAAGCGTCTGTGTGTAAAAGCCAATGCGTGTAAAAGTGTCTAGTGTCTATGTGTAAAGGCGTCTGTGTGTAAAAGCCTATGTGTGTAAAAGTGTCTAGTGTCTGCGTGTAAAACCTTCTGTGTGTAAAAGCTTCTGTGTGTAAAAGCGTCTGTGTGTAAACGCTTCTGTGTGTAAAAGCGTCTGTGTGTAAATGCGTCTGTGTGTAACAGCTTCTGTGCAAAAGCGTCTGCGTGTGAAAAACAATACGAAGGATAGGATGCAAACTAGTGTTTTGTACTTGTAATATATTGTCTTGATACTACTTGTCTCGCCTGCCTAAAATACATCTTTAATATATTGTCTTGCAATATAGTGTCTCAATACTAACAACAGAAGACCCTGCTCTCTCTCTCTCTCTCCCTCTTTCTTTCTCTCTCTCTCTCTCTCTCTCCCTCTCTCTCTCTCTCTCTCTCCCTTTCTCTCTATCTATGTCTCTCTGTGGTTGCAAGACACGTGTCATATGATGCCCTTTACCAAGCAGCACAGTGCATATGCATGGGTTGTCACATGTATCCTCTTCTTAATCAATCTTACTTTTCACAACTTACCCCTCCATAGCTCATATAAAATTCACCAACCTATCACCGACTATTTTTTACGACTACCATACTCAGAGCTGCTTGAAAAACGGCTTTTTCGCTCTCGGGCCAACCGTTGTCTAGTTTTTTGGCTTTCTGGGTTTCACGTGGGTCTTCTCAAGCTGGTATTAATGTTCGTCAGCTTTGAGTCAACTTCATGCAGAATCGTGCGCTACCATGCACTCTCACGCGCTTTGACTCCTGGCTTCACTGGCCCGCACTGGCAGGCGCTCTTGACTTTATTGGGACAACGTGGCAAAATTCGCTTCAGGCTCCCTTTCTTGGCGCGCTTGAATTGACAGTTCCCCTGTACGATTTCAGCTGGTTCATCTCAGGGCCTAGTTGATCCCTCTTGATTCTGTGGATTCTTTGTTCGAATAATTGATCCATGAGATTTCCCAAATGACCGGTAAAGGGCAGGATTTGGACAATAGCCCACCCAATTGACTTTGAGTTGCTACAAGCTGATGCATGATGGGTAGGTAGTGGTCTTGAGTGAGAGGTGGGTACCCAAAAATTGGGGCAACCTTCCGAAGTTTTTGGAACACAATCGTGGGTTGGGCTCACTTAAATTGTGATCCAAACTCCATCAAAAGCCCCAGAATGCCAAGGAATCTAGAGAAAAGATACTTGGCAGGTTGCCACCATTCAGGCAAAAACCTGAAGCCTGAGCGAACGAAGCCTGACCGTTTACAGTTTACAGAAAACGCAGACTCCAAACAAGTACAGGGGCACACATTTAACGAAGGAAGTTTAGAAGTCAAACTTCCGACAATATGGACAGATTGAAAAGTAGTGGGAAGAGTCAGAGAAGAGAAGAGAAGAAGAGAGAAGATCAGAGAAGAGAAAGAGTCAGAAGAAAGAAGATGCAGGTGCGCGAAAAGGTAGAAGTCGCGATTTGCTGTGTTTTTCCAATGATCTGTGTTTTTCCAATGATTTGTGGCTCCGGAGAGTCGAAAAGTAGACTGGCTAAAGCGGAAGGTGCGGAGCCAGACAGACAGACAGACAGACAGGCAGGCAGGCAGGCAGACAGACAGACAGAGAGAGAGAGAGAGAG